AACAGCTCTGCTCATTCAAATGACATGCCTTGCACGCCTATGCTCTAAAGCTGTCGCAAAACTGCTCATTAGAATGAATTAAGAGAGGTCTGTGTGTAAATGTTGAGCCTACCGTTCAATTTTTGGTGGCGAAGGGAATCTGGAGCTGGAGGGGGGTGTGTCTGGTATGGTGGGGCGGTCACAGCAATCATCTGGAGATATGTGTGGCCATGTCCACTGGAAAGAAAGAAAAAAAGAAAGAAAGAAAGGAGAGAGGGATGATTGATGAGAATGAAAGAAGGAAGAGAGAGCAAAAGACCTTGTGTGAGTATTGAGAACAGTGTAGGACATTACACTTATATGGTCTGTTTCAAGGTGTTAGAATTACTTTTAGACTGTCCTGTCTATTGTCCGGTCTTGCTCTATCCTTATGCTGGCAGACAGAAATGGAGCAATAATAAGGTGATTGCAAAATTCCTCACTGAAAATCTAAATTGAAACGAGGTGGTTTGGGCCTTAGAGACATGGTGACCCTGCAACATATCCGCTCACAGATGTTTGAAAAAGTTGGCTACAGTCATTGAGAGCATTGTGTTTCTATATCCAACCCACAAAGCTTCTGCAAGATATATGTCACATGTAAAACCTACAATACTCACACTTAGAGAAGTGGTGGGAAAGGTGTGTGATTTAAAGGGTGACAGAAGACTGTTAAGGGATTTGGCTGTCCAGCCTGCCTTATCTCCAAACTCTGGTTCCTCGCTGGTCTTTAGGGAAGTAGACATGAACGGTCTATGGGATGGGCTCCTCGGGCTGTGTTTGGGGCTCAGATCTCACAGCTTTAATTGAATCATTGCTTACAACCAGCAATTTGGAGGCTTTTTCAGTTCATTAAAAGTTCAGCGTTTCAGGTTTGCTGCGCTCCAGATTACAGTATGTTAAATTGTATTTTGACAGGCTGAAGTTGAATGTCCAGCGCAGGCCTCTGGAGGCTGATTGATTAGTGAGATAAAGTCTGTCTGGGAAGACAACTGCTGTACCCAAAGACACACAAAGAAACAGAAATTAAGCAACATTAGTTTCTATAGTATCATAATTTTTTTCTGCTCTGTGCACTGGTTTTGCTATCAGACTACATATCAATATGTCTGGTCCTGACAAGGAAAATTAGCTATCATTCTTGGCTGTAACGCCTCCTGTCATGTTGCTATGGAGGTCCAGGCAACATGTGGCATAAAATTTATTTATTGGTTATGGTGCTTTCGTAAAGTATTCACAATCTAGGCTTTGACCCTTGACCCCTGTGAAATCCTGCTTTGAGTAGGCCTAAGTGTGTTGTTGCACATTTGTTGCCTGTGTTATTTATTGGTTTTGAGGCTGTTGTAGGTGCATAATTAGTGCCAATTATATGAAAACCTTGCAGATTTCAGTAAAATCTCAATAAAATGCAATTTGTAACAGAAATGTGGAAGGCAAATCTAAACTCTGCACGTGTATAATCCGGCGAAAATACAATACAATACATCAATACCAGAAGTCATAGATAGAGCTCATAATTAGATAAATACAAGTAGCACAACCTATGTTAAAGACATAACCTACCTGACAAGCAGCATATGACATCAATATGTGTTTCCCTAGATGGAAAAAACTATTTTGGACCATGAATCGAAACACATCCTTGATACAACATATCTATTCTCCTGCACAGTTCTGCCTACCTCTGTCTGTGAGGTTATCAACAGTTCATCAAGGGAACATGGAAGTGAAGGACAATACCGTCCTCCACTCCACCAGGCTGTTAGGGTGGCTCGGATAACTTCAATGAAACACCAGCACCTTGGACTCAGATTATTTAAAGAGGAAGAGTCCCTGCATGCTTTATGAGATTGTCAGCTGCTGTTGTGATCAAAACAAACATAAACAGGCCTCAGTCTGGTGTGTGTGTGTGTGTGACTGGATCACATCAGCTGTCTATTAAGGCACTCAGTGATGGTAAAATAATTACTTCATCAATTTCAATCTGCGGTCTTTCAAACACCTCCGGATGGCTGTGGAAAGACTTGAGGGAATAATAACAGACAGGCCTATCTGACATAATCCTTCCAAATACGGTAGATTAAATATGCGTTAGTATTAATGTTTATAGAGACTTAATGACTTCGTTTAACTACTGTGTACAAAAAGAATGAAAATGTTACTTTTTTTAGACACTGATGCCAACTAGCAGAAATACACAGACTCTGCATTTTTTTTGGAGATGTTTCCTCATTTACTTTTAATGATATAAACTTAAACCTTAAATGATGGTTAGAACAGAAATAACCAGCCTACGTGGTATCAAAGGGTAGTTTTTCTTTTGTCTGACATGTTGGAGTGCAGCAAATATACAGACAGTGCTTTTTATAAGGCTTCAACATTAGGACTGGTATTTGAAAGTACTGGAACTAAGTACTCGAGTACTGTACTTGAGCAACATTTTTAAGGTACTTGTAATTTACTTGAACATTTAATGCTACTTCATACTTACTGTAGAGTAGAAAATATTGTACTTTGTACTCTAAAGCATTTATCTTACAGCTATAGTTACTTTCAAATTATGATTTGACACACAAAACATACAATCTATAAGATATGATGCATTTGTAACACTAAACTATCATGCAGTATGTATATATAAAGTAGTTTAAATTAGTCCACAGTCCAGCCTACATGTAAATGCATCTTAAATAATGATCTTATAATAACGAGTTATAAAACTGACAGTAGTAAAAGTATCAGAAGTAAAAGTACTCTTACCACTTAAAGTACATTTTGCTTTGTAGTAATGTTGCTTTTGTACTTTTTAAATGCATGACTTTATAGTGTGCTGCTATTTCTTTTTAAACTTATTTTTAAAATAGTACTTCTTTTCACTATGGGCATTTTATTGTGATAACAGTCCAACTCATCTGAACTTACTTTACTTAGCCTACCTTCAATTCATTTTAAAGTTGCAAATAGCCCCATTTCCTGCATTAACACCGAATAATAATATGACTGACTTTTAAGTCACTGTGTGTTTTTACTCTGCTCACAAATTAGAGATCATAGCTTTCCTACCTTTTAATTGCCCCCCCCCCCCCAAAAGAAAATCACTGCACAGCGTGTCCTCCTTGCTAAATCCAATGGGACCCACTGCAGAGGAGTGCAGTGCACCATTGGGTGTCGCTGTGCGCGTAAAGTCTCCACCGGCAGGTTTGGTCCGAGCGGACCCCGACACAGTCTGAAGTGTCAGATACTCTTGTTAACATGTGAGTTTCATTTCAGTGTATCTAAGAGGGTGAAAGAAGGGGAAAACCGGGGGAGAGAGGACTGCAAAAAAAAAAAAAAAAAATACGCGGAAGAGAAGTTTTGAGAGAGCTGTACTAGGGAACTGCGGATGTCCTCATGAGGGAATGCCGAAAAGGAGAGCAGACATACGGCCAGAGCACCAGACATGAGTCCGAGGTAAGGTTGTGATACGGCAGAGAGGCGCGGGGGCATCCACGCAGACGTGTGATCATACTCTGTGTCATAATGAGCAGCTTTTAGTGGACCACAATGACGAATTTATCCAGGTTTTAATGCGTGTTTTGGCTTTGAGCCGATGGTCCTGATGTCGTCTTCAGTCCAGACAAAGTTTGAGCATCTGGATCATATGGGCACGTCCGGCCTAAAGCTTGTCTTCGGCTGTATTAGAATTCTTATTTTTCATTATTTATTTAATCTTCATATTTGCATTATGTAAATCATCCAAGACACTGGAGGCCGTGTGGGCAGGATTTCAGTATGAGATGCTGTATATAAAGGACGAAATAAACGTAACATTTCATAAAAAGCCACATGAAATGAAATGTTTTAATAATTTATTTTATCACTGATGAGGCTGACTGCATGTGTCTACAGCAGGAAAGGGAACATATTTAAAAGGCATCTGTGAAGCAGTTATTTTAAAGATAAAGGAGTGTCTGCAACGTGCTCTATTGTACATAATCCTTCATTTTTATATTACCTGTAATAAGAATATTTTCACATGTGGGGAAAAAAACTTGACAAGTTTAAAGAAGAGTTTAAACATCAGAATAGGCCTTAATGTGTCGCCCATTTACAGTCAGCGACGCTTTAATGTTCATGTCACAGCAGGTGTTTTACCTAAGAGAGAGAGGGGGAGAGAGAGAGGGAGGGAGGGAGAGATGTGTGTTTTAAAGTGTTTAAAGTGATCAAACTTCCTTTTTTGTTTCCACTTAGCTAATTGTGCTCTTTAAGTGGAGCCCGGGGTGCCATTAAGGCTCCACATTTTCTCAGGGGAGGTCTGCAGGCAAAGTGAACACACCTTCATTTAACTTTATTTAATTAAAACATGTACACACACACACACACACACAGACACACACAAACACACACAAAGAGAACGGCAGCAGCTGTGAATTTATTTCTCTAAATTGCACAAAAGAAGCAAACATGAATGAATAGAATTTGGCCTAATTTTGGCCTCAAGGACTAAATAAAATTAATAAAGGTGTTTAAAGGAGGGGGGGTCTAATTCCATGAAGCTCCTCGACATGAAACGCTCGAACAGCTCTCAATGTAAGCAGTTATTTCCAACATTCAAACCCCTCTCTTAAGTTTAAGCTTCTTGATCATAAATATGCAACATATATGCCTATGTATACAATAGCTGCCTGTCTCTTTAAGGCGATGTGTTGAGAAGTTCAAGTCGGGGTCATTTGAAGTTCCTGCCCTCGATTTTACCTTTTAGTTTTATTATAGACTGACATCACACGGGGCGCTAAAACACTTAAGGCGCATAGAGGCTCCATTATCATCCCGGTGCGCGTTATTGCTCCGACTCAAAAATAGCTAAGGAAATTACTAGAGAAAAAAAAAAAAAAATAGGAGGAAACTGATGCTGGTCGAAGCACGTATTTTTTATAGGAGGGGATGAGAAAGAGAGGGAGAGGAGGGGCAGAGAGACAGAGAAAAGAGGGAGAGGGAGGAAAGTGGGTGGGAGGACGGACCCAAGGAGCGACAAGAAATTCATATCAATTAATAATCATAAAAAAAGAGCTGGCAGACGCGCTCGGAAAACTGGCATGGTTTTTTGGAGGCTGGCAGTTCAAAGCTGAAACGTCAGATATGACTCCTAGAGACTGCTGAGATGATCATTAAGGGAGACTTAGATCGGATGGCAGAAGACATCGGGCATGCAGGTAAGAGCTGATATGCTGCACACAGGACAGGGGAGAGGGGGACAGTTTTAATTCATTGAAGTGTTCAGTGTTCGCTGTCAAGGAGGAAACGCTGTGTTTTTTATTCAACCGTTGAAATATTGATTGGCTATTTCATACCATGCTGCGCTCTGCCTCGAGCTTTTATTCCTGGATCATTTTGACATCGGCAAGTAAAGGCTCCGCTTGGTGTGTGTGTGTTTTTTTTTCCTCCGCATTTAATTCGAATCTGTTTTATTTCAGATAATTAATTACACATAGCCCGGTAGGTTGTTTTGTTAAATTCTTCACAATCAGTCCGGAGTAATGGCGATTTTAGACTGCATATAAAGCCTTAAAAATTCAGCAAAATGTTCAAAAAAAGTTTTGAGTAACAAAACAATTGTCTGCTTCTCTCTCCAAAATCAGATTTTTAAACATAATGTGTTTTTTTACCCGAGTTAAATTCATTTTTAAAGGTTTTTTTTTTTTTTTAACTCAGATGGTGGCCTAATGTAAAAGTTAAAGGGAACATCGACCTCTGATAAAAGGGAACTGCAGCTACTTCAGCTACTTCAGCAGTCCTCTAATAAATGTAACAAGGAAGCCAAATCATAATGTATCTATTGGACATAATAAAACAGGCCTATCCCTGCGTGCAATCACACATCAGGACTGAGTTCAGGCGAACACAGAACACACTAAAGAATATTATAGGAATATTTGGGAGGAGAGGGGGATTTATAGTGCATGAATTCCTGGTTTCCGAGATTTTATATCCATGTAAGAAAGAGATGCTTCTCAGTGCTGTTGACAGGTCTGAAGAAGAAACAGCTGTGTGATGCACCTTTTGCGCACAATGAGCTGAGAACGGGCAGTTTCTGGGGGTGATTTAGGGCTCCTTTTTGGCGGAGATAAGGTGAAGCTTGTAAAGGATGAGGCTCTGCAGCTCACAGAGAGATGGATTCACTCGTGATTCGGTTTACTGTACAATAAGTGAGTAAAACAGATTAGAGGGTCGTCTCGGCGACACGCAGTCAGCAGGCAACTTCATACTTTGCTGGCAAAAAAAAATTAAAAAACCGCGACGTGAAGTAGTCAGATATTAGGCAGTGGCATTAAAAACGAGCCCTGATCTCCAGATCTGGCTCCTTGATGAACTGTGGCAGGTAAATTCAACTTACTCACAATTAATTTAATTTATAAATAAATGTATAGCCTATCGATCGTTGAAATTAGAAATAAGTTATAATGAAGTGCTTTCAAATTGAATGATCTGCTCGGTGTTAAATGATTGTAAGCCAAAAAAACTGACAACTTCTCAATAGGCTACTTAAATATAGGTTCATTGCTGATTATTAAAATATTGTTAATTAAAACCTGTCCACTCAGCTCACAAGAAGCTGTGTTACTCTCTTATCTCCGAGTGTGTGATGAATTTTTTTTTTTTTAGATGCGCGATTACAACAAGAAAGTGACTCTCCATGGTGTGTGCTGACCTGACTAAATCTCATCTTATTATCATCATGGGTGTTGCTACTCAATTTGCGAGTCAGGATGCAGTTTTTCTAACTGAAACTCAAAACTCTTTAATGCATGCACAACTTCTCCAGCCAGTATTTTGCCTCTTGTGAGTCACACAATGACAAAAAAAAAAAATTATTAGTTGGAATAAAGTCATATAAAACTACAGTAAAATATCTTCTTGCAAATTCTCCCTGACTTTGTATTGCAGTGTTTCCTCATAAATTGAACATGGACTGTATGTGAACGTGGTCAAATGGGTTTTAAAATAAACAAGGTGACTTGAGCACGGGCAGCAAATTGAAATGAAAGAAAATAAAATGTCAACATAACGTTTTAAGCAGATGTCTGAGTGTTTATGTGACTGAGGCTGCATGTAGAGGTAGGAAGTTTAGTCTCCCGCTTCACCCCAAACCACAAAAGTGACAAAACAGACAAAAGACAGGAACAATGAATATTAATCTAATGCAAATAACTGAATGCCATCTCCATTAACTACATCACCATCATATAACTCTCCTCAGCATGTTGACGGGTCATTAAAAACGAAGGCTCTCAGATGAAAACAGCCATGCATCCCAGAGGGACTTGAGTAACCTTGTCTCAGATGACTGTACTGTTTGTGCAACCTAGGAAAAAAAAAGATTTAATTTAGGTTGTTTAACAAAACAAACCAACAAAACAAACTGCAGTGCGGGCTTTGAATGTGTTTACAAGAACATTACATGTAGCAGGCTTGTTTTAAGATCTGTTGTCTGACTAAATATCTTTGCAATCATAGATGGCTTCCTAACAGGATGCAGTAAGCTTACACTTGCCCCTGCAGATCAAGAGCTTTTTATAAAACATGTTTTACTGTTCACTTTTGTCAGCAGGCTGCATCAAACAGCGAGCTTGGGATATTTTAAAAGGCAAGTTGTAGCTTCTCGCACTGATCACAGTGAGAGAAAAGAGATCTTTATTGCTTTGATGAGGAACCCACAGTCACTTTGACTGTTTTTACCACAAGACATTACCAAAAGTAATTTGTTGTACGCGCTGCAGGTTGCAGCTGCACAGAAATGTTGCTTTGTGCAAGAGATGTTTTTTTTTTCCTGTCGCAAAAGATTTTTATAACGTTTTTCAAGAATATATTAAATATGCAGTTATATGCCTCATACGCTCTGTATAAAAACAAATGTCTTCATGAATCAGGACATAAAGAAGGCAGAATTTTCTGTCATGCTTTGTGATACAGTTGAACTGTGTCGCATGATACAGAGCTGTAGACCGCATACAGACGAGAATGTACACTGATTGTGTGTGTGTGTGTATGTGTGCGCGAGTACACGACGTGTCACCATGCTCCGCACAGTAACCAATAACAGTAACTGTAAGCTGAACACCCCTTAATGCAATAGAGGCTCTGCAAAAGTTCAACAAGTTGTGGAAAGTACTTGGCTTATTTCTCATATCACACTCATTTCTAAACACGTTTGATCTGACCGACATTGAAATTTATAGTAAAATATGACCGTTGAGTAATCAAAGCCAGACAGAAACCAGAAGTGGAAACACTTTAGATGACAACTGGGGACAGACATGATGGAACGTAAACCCACCTAAACCTGCCATACTCGCCTTTTTAATTATAGTCGTTTTTTATTTTCTAGATATTTACAACCGGATAATAAGTATTAAATAGCATGAAGTCACATTTTATGAAAATGATTGTATAAGATATATTTTTGTGTCATATTGATGACTGTTCTTTGCATGATCACGAGCTGGAAGTCATACTTATTCTGACCCTTTCATTTTCCATTTAATCAGTGATGACATTTCCTTCTGATGTTATAGGCCTGATACTGAACATGCATTCAAAAAAACACGCTACTAAAATTGTACTAAGCAGTGACCTTGAGTTTTAAGAACGCACAGTTTTAGTCGCGGTGCATTGTAAGAGGGGAAAGTAGACACATTTTTGTTCAGGATTCCCCAGAATTCCTTAGTAACTCATTTGTCACGTTTTTTTGTTTTTTTTTAAAATTTAGATTCCTACTTGCCTATTCTTGTGCTGAGCACTTAAACTGAATGAAATAAACAAGAAGTGAATGAGCTGGTGTCAGGAAGAGCATGATCAGACAGATGACATGATATTTATTTAGTTGCTTGTTTCCCATCAGTGAGACTCAGCCCTTAGGGACAGTTTGAGACGTTTAATCTCATAAGTAAACTATCCTCAGATGCCACTGGTTGAACAATACATGGTGTTTCATGCATGCAGCTAGTATAGTTTATTTTAGGCTTGATGGAACAATTAGTGTTGATATTTGAGTGTGTATGAAAGCGTGTGTGCGTATGTGTGCGTGTGCATTAGATCCCTGGAGCTCATCTCGACAAAAAGTATCGAACCATGTAATGCTGATTTACATCCCGTGCGCTCAGTGTTCCTTATATGACTGGGCAGAAAGGGGAGCCGAAAGAAATCTTTTTTTGGATGTGTCCTTCCCCCTCAGGTTTATGCCTGCTGTTCATCATACTTGTGAAACATTCATCCCTTGCTTTGTTTAAAACTTCTGAAATACTTTATCAGGAAGCCAGCAGTTACAAAATATATATCTTTGGTTCTCTGAATTTTGTTCTTTCATGGTTTTTGCTCGCTGCAGAGGAAGTGAATGCGTAGACTTGAATTTCTGATAATGAGAAAACCACTGCAACCGTTCACCTTTCGCAAAAGTTCACTTTAACTGAGTGGCCTTCATGTGCACTTCCCGCACATAAGTGCTGCACTCCGTACATGTTCCATCAAGTGGAATCTATGAAATAAACACGATTATGTAAATATTTAACTACAAATGAATTAGTAAACAAGGCAACAAAATCAAAAAATAAAACTAAATCCAATAAATTGAGGTGTGTTTTAAAAGTGAATTAATCTATATTAATCCACATAAATGTATCTGTATGCAAATTATATTTTTGTTTCCATATTACTTATAATTTACTTTTTTCTTTTTTTTTTCTCAAATCAAACCTTTTGATACTCAGACCTCTCAAATATATTTTAATATAGTCTGATGTGTAAATCATCATTGCTTTGATAAAATGCATCAATTATAATTTTTGTGGTGCAGAAAATTACACATTAATTGTGTTTTTGTGTGTCGAAATGCTGACTGCCGCATGACGTTTTACAGATATCTGTTGTTTCAGGTGGCGGACTGAAGACGATGCTGGGTGCCATGGAAGTTCCAAGTCATGCTAGGGATCTCCTCCTGCAGCTCAACAGCCAGCGAACCAAGGGCTTCCTGTGTGATGTTATTATTGTGGTGCAGAACGCCCTCTTCAGAGCTCACAAGAACATTCTGGCTGCCAGCAGCCTCTACTTGAAATCTTTGGTGGTCCATGACAATCTAATCAACCTCGACCACGAGATGGTGAGTCCAGGGGTCTTCAGGGTCATTCTGGACTACATCTACACAGGCCGCCTTAGCGACGGAGACCCCACTTCTCCCAATGAACCCAATCTAGGGGCTGTCTTGGCAGCAGCCAGCTACCTTCAACTGCTCGACTTAGTGGCTTTGTGCAAAAAGAAGCTGAAAAGAAATGGCAAGTACCCTCCCCGCCCAGGTCCTGCATTTCTGCCCTACCCAAAGATGGGGCCCAATAGTATGGGTTTGGGGAGTGGTGGCAGGTATAGGGTTTCTACTCCTGTCATTCAGCCCTGCCCTCCAGGAGGAATTTTGAATAGCCCTGTAACCCGGCCACCACCACCAGAGGAGCTAGTTCCCCATCGACTAGCCCTTCATCCTGGGGAGCTGTTTGCCCCCACCTCCACCCAGGGCTCTCAGGTGTTCCCGTCCCTGCAGTCAGCTCTGCCTGCCCAGCTTGGGCGCTCAGCCCACCCTGAGAGAAACTGCTCCCCCAACTACGGCCTTGATCTCTCCAAGAAAAGCCCCAACTCCCAGTCTCAGCACACACCCTCTCACTCCCATCTGGCAAACACTCACAATGATGAGGAGCGAGACGGGACTCTGAGTGGCCACACCAGTCCCATGCAGGGGACAAATGGAAGGGCCTTCCCCTCAGAAAAAATGGAGTCGACCGACCAGGCAAGCTCTCTCACTCCTCCGCTTTTCCCCCATCTCAACCAGCCTCTTGGCCCACACCTCCCCCACCTGCATCGTTCAGGCTCCCATGGCACAGATCGCTACCCATGTCCCCCGAGTCCTGACACCCCAGAAGGTGGAGAGGCAGGCAGAGAAATGGGCAACATCTACCGCTGGGTGAAACACGAGCCACTGTCATACACAGCTGAAGATGAAGATGAAGATGAGGATGAGGAGGAAGGGGGTGAAAATGGAGACCAGCATCATAACCACCACAAGGCAGGGGAGGAGAGTGAAGGAGGAGACGACAAGAGTGGGTCAGGCACAGAGGAGACTGGCAGTAGTGAAGGCCGCCCCTCTCCTCCTGGATCAATGGGGAGGTTCCACATGCCGTATGAGCCAGAAAGCTTCGGGGACAATCTGTATGTCTGCATTCCCTGTGACAAAGGCTTCCCAAGCTCAGAGCAGCTCAATGCACATGTGGAGACACACACAGAAGAAGAGCTGTACGGCAACTCTGGCGGGGAGATGGGAAACAGCAACAACAGCAGCACCAAAAACATGAGCAGCAACACAAACGGTTATGGGAGCCTGAACAGCAGCAACAGTTTAAACAGTCTGTCCCACCTGGAGACCAAGTCCAGCCAGGGGCTGAGTTCAGGGGGCATTGGGGAGATGATCCGACCCTACCGCTGTTCCTCCTGTGAAAAGTCCTACAAAGATCCAGCCACTTTGCGCCAGCATGAGAAGACCCACTGGCTGACCCGGCCATACCCCTGCAGCATCTGTGGCAAGAAGTTCACGCAGCGCGGCACCATGACACGCCACATGCGTAGCCACCTGGGCCTTAAACCTTTTGCCTGCGACTCCTGTGGCATGCGCTTCACCCGGCAGTATCGCCTCACAGAGCACATGCGCATCCACTCAGGGGAGAAGCCCTATGCATGTCAGGTGTGTGGAGGAAAGTTTGCTCAGCAGCGCAACCTCATCAGCCACATGAAGATGCATAGCAGTGGAGGGACTGCAGGGGGCCTGACCACAGATGGGAAACTGAAGCTGGACTTTGCTGAGGGCATCTATCCTCTGAGTAAATATGCCGCAGAGCATCTGGGGCTGAAGCAGGAGAATGCCAATGAGCTTCTCATCCAAGCCCAGCAGCAACTGGTTGCTGATGCAAAGGTCATGGAGAGCCTCTACCCTCTGTCCAAATTGGCCTCGGAGCACCTGGGCCTCTCCCACGACAAGATGGATGTCCTGGGCCAGCCCCTCCCCCCTCCCCCACAGGCCCTCTCTGATGCCCGCACCATTGACCGCTACTCACCCAGCTAAGACCACATGACCTGTATAAATGGCAATCACCAATAGGTCTGTGTGTACACACAACTTGCAGTATTCAAAAGCCATTCACCTCAGCTCAATATCTCCTCTGCACCTCAGACTCAGGCCAAAAGGAATTGGTCTGTTGATGCACACCAAAATGTGTAGACTGTAAGTGCCTTTCTATGCATCTAATGTATCTTAAAGTCCTCCTTCATAAAGGAGCTCTGTGCTATTCTGTGACCAAGGGACACTCAACTCAAAGAAGTACAGTATTTATGTACCGTATATGCAAACAAACATTTAAAAATTTACAGCCATTGAGCCAAAGTGACAAATTGAAAACCAAAATAAAATTGTTTTATTTATTTTTGTATTATGGTGAAATCCAAAGACAAACTGTTGCAAGCAAACGTTGCAATCTGACCCTAAACCTGTGTACAAAAAAATGAAAAAGCACATAAGGACAATATTCAGGGTTTCGGTCCAGACCTGAGCGGAACTTTTGCCAAATGAATAAGCCAACTCTTCTGGACTTTAAAGTAATGGGAGGATATATTTTTTTTTTCTTTTTTTCTTTTCTGTTTTTGGGGTACTGGACAATTTATGTATCTCACTCTCCAGCTTCTCCAAATCATGTTCCTGCTTCCCAAGTCGCAAGGAAATGACTGAACGATAAGAGCAATTGCTGCAGCATTTTGGTAAAGTCTCCTCTGCTTTATTTTCTCCACATTTTTTTAAAGAAACCCACTCCTCCGCATATTTGTGCGGATAAAGGCTCATACTATGTGACAGTAATGGTAGCTTAATCAGCCTTACACTCAGTGAGTAACCCTTCTTGAGCTAAAACTTCCTTTGCATTTTGACTAACATCCCCTAGCTTTCAGTTGTTATTGAGATGCAGTAAGCACAGCCCTGTGAGCTCATATCTGGGACATGATTGCACATACCCAACTGATGACACACTAATCCCTGTTCATGACGAGTGTAGCTTCATCTCATGGTGTAGACGAAGCATGGGCGTTGCCTCTGACATTGTGTAATATTTACAATTTTTAATGTGGCCGAGCTTAGAGGCATGGACTAGGTCAGAATCAATTACACATAAATCTGTCATTTACTGTCAAAAGCAATTACTTCATTCACAGCAGTCTAATGATTAAGTAAGTAGTGGCAGTAGTCAGATGCTTTTCCACTGTCCGACCTCTCATTTGACCTCCCTCCCCTGTAGTCTGTTGTCTGGGAGCCCTGCTACTGTT